TGTGAGGTTGAGTTAAATTGGTATTTGTTGGTATGGGAACAAGCGGTGTGTTCAGGCGCTCACCCTCTTCCCTGCTTTCTCTTGCCTGTCTGGCTTGAAAAACCACAGTTTGTTTCTCTGGGGTATCCAAACTCTGGTTTTGGGCTTTCCTTATAGACCACAGTCGAAAGCAGGATCAATCTGGAGCTTGCAGTCCCTACATGCTAGCCTGCAATTTTCAGTAAGGGCCAGCTGCTGTAGACAAAGGACAATGGGGTTGATCTAGACTTCAGCATTGTGTGGATCCAGGCTATACTTCCTGGAGACCAAATAAGACGAAATATGTGGCTTTGTCATTATTAATTGTGTGGAAGTGCCAGTGAAGAAGCCCAAATGGCTTATGGGCAGATACATGTACAGATCCTGGCTAACCAAAACCAGAAAAACTGCACATCTGGATCAAGCATATAGATTTCCCCCCATTCTATCTTGCTGCTTCACACACAGAAACGCAGACACACCTCCCAAACAACAAGCTATTTATCTTAATGCATGCATCCTCTCCCAGTCCATCAAGGTGTCTGAACTTGGAGCCCCAAATAAATTACACATTGGTCAAATTAATTATTAGTTATTTATATTTGTACTTGTAAAACTTGACCCCATTTTTACAAGTTGTAGATAATGGGGTTTTGGTGAGGTATGCTTATATCAACCACTCGGTGGGGGTGGGGGTGAGAGAAAGCGGAACAGTACATCCGAAATAAAATCTATGCACAAAAATTGTTCGTGGAAAACTATACTTACATACACGATAGAAAAATATTTTGACATTTCTTACATCATGCTGCTTAGCAAGCACACTCTTTGCTTGAATAGCCCTTGATGGGAAAAGCATGTTCTATTCAGCATATTTTTAAGGCAGAATCACTTCGTTTTGGTGCTATAACAATAAGCCATGGAGGAAGATATTAACTGCGTAGGAAAATAAAGGTTGATACTTCTTGCATTTGCTAATTCAGTGTACATTGTGGGGCGGTGGAATCAACACAAGTGACTAATAATGAGTATTAAATTTGGCGAACATTAATGTAATTTTGCTGCACAAATTCAACCTGTAAAATTCTGTGAGCTCTTGATTTGCATTCTGTTTGGAGATCTTGGAGAGGCTCAGAAAGCTTTCTTTAATCGCGGGACTGTTGAGTAATTAGGACATTAAATGCATTCACCTTCAAGCAAGGTTGGCTTTGTTCCCGTTTCCATTCATTGCTACCCTGAAAGATTGAATGTATCTCGTTTGCCTCACCATATTTCACTACTTGCTCTGAACACAGGAAAAGTGGTTGCTAGTAAGCAGTGGGGGTGTTGGACTTGAATTTTGGGGTAGAGGTGTGCTGAGTGTGTTGGGGGGGNGTGTGTGTTCTGTTAAGATACAGCCTGTTGTGCCTTAAAGTGGCTTCTAATGTACAGCACAGTGGAGTTGCCATGGTAACAGCTTCACAGTACACCACAAGGGTGCTCCCTCTGGTAAGGGGGAAAATCCAACATTAGAAATTACGTTTGGTCAGGACATAAATAAATACCCGGGCAACGCCGGACTATCAGCTAGTATTTTTATAAATAACTCAAAGACAGTAAACAGTAATGATTCCTCCTCCTCTTATTTCCCCCTCAACTGCAACCCTGTGAGTTGGATTGGCTGAGAGACAGGGACTAGAATCACCCAGCTGCCTTTCATGGCTAAAGGGGGGCTAGAACTCACAGTCTCCTAGTTTCTAGCCTGGTTAATTGAGCCATTCAACCATATTTGGCTTTCAAACCTTGCTGTTGCTCATTGTCCTCTTTACTTCCACCTTTCCCAACATTAGAGCCTTTTCCAGAGAGTTGGGTCTTTCCATAATTTGCCTGGATAAGAGTGATCATTTAAATTTTGACCCTTATTTATCTCCCATTGCGAGATTGATGCCCAAAGAGCAGCATCCTGGGCTGGTCCATTCTTGAAGCCTCAGGAAACCATAATACTGTCTTCCTTTGTTAAGTACATAAGGAATATCTGTGTCTTGTACAAAATCTTTTTTCGGGTAACTTTGAAGACATTTGTAAATTTACTGTATTAAGTGAAATAATAAGATTTTTCTTTTTTCCAACAAATGTCTCAGGAACAAATAGGTTCTGTGAAGATTGGACACAAGCATTTCTGAATGTTTCCGAAGGGGGGAATCCCTTCCTTTTTCGGCAAATACTGGAAAATTTTAAATTGAAGGTAACTTATCTGTGTTGGGCAAGAACGATGAATAATGTTCAATGAGAATTGTAGTCCAAATGCATCGGCTGGACATTGGCTTAGAGGTGGCTGTGATTTGTGATGGTTAGAAATAGTGGTAGATAAAACCTTTGCTGTACTAGAATTTGTTTTGAGTCTCATGTGTTTCCCAACCCCCAAATCATAATCTATTTTAGACAAAGAATTGGGTTTAAATTAATAACCAATTGAAACTAGTGACAAAGTTTCTGTTGTTCTAATACCAAATCCCACTGGCTTGGATCTTCATCCTGAGACACAACAATTGTGGCTCAAGTATATTTGTTATAAAAGAACGTAATCTTGAGTCCATATTTATCCTCTTCAACTTGGCAAGAATCCCATGTTACAAAGGGTGGCTTTTGCCTGTGTGATTTCATGCTGCCAGAATATTGGCCATGCCTTCTAGGAACACAGAATATTTATTATTTATTTATTTTTAAGGTATGCAAGTAGTCCTGAACTTGCAACAGTTCATTTAGCAACCATTTGAAGTTACAATGGCACTGGAAAATATGAATGATGACCGTTTTTCACAGTCATGACCATTGCAACATCCCTGTGATCACATGATCAAAATTCAGACCAACTGGCAACTGGCTCATATTTAGGATGGCCGCAGTGCCCTAGGGTCACGTGATCCCCTACTGGGACCAAGCAAAGGCAATGGGGAAGACAGACTCACTTCACAACTGTCTTCCTAATCTAACAACTGCAGTGATTCACTTAACAAATTTGTCAAGACAGGTCAGGCAAGATTCACTTGTACTGTTGTTTGTTTTTGTTGTGGTTTTCCTTTTTGTATCGGCCTTCCCCCCCCCCCCCCCCCCCCCCCGCTTTGGTTTTGTTAGCCGCCCTGAGTCCCTCGGGAATAGGGCGGCATACAAGTCGAATAAAACCTTCAA